GGAATCCTGTGTGAAAAAAAAAAAAACAGTACGCGGAGGGCGCGCGGCCATCACCCAGACGCCATCAGGGGAAGAGGGAGAGTATTTTCATATTGAGTAATTGTGGAGGAGGAGGAGGGAGGGGAGGAGGAGGAGGAGGACGACCAGCAGCAGCAGCAGCAAGAGCAGGAACAGAGGGTGAGGAGGGGACGGGGAGGAGGACGAGGAAAAGGAGGCACGCGAGCAGGAGGAGGAAGAGGAAGACGAGGCGGAGGAGGAGGAGGAAAGAGAAGGAGGAAGAACGAGAGGAGGAGGAGGAGGAGGAGGAGGTGGAGAAGCAAGAACAGGAGAGGAGAAGGAGGAGGAGGAGGAGGAGAAGGAGAAGGAGAAGGAGAAGGAGAAATCAGGAAGAGGAGGAGGAGGAGGAGGAGCAGGAGGAAGAGGAGGAGGAGGAGGAGGAGGAGACCAGATGGCTTCGAGGGCCCGTTTGAAGGCATGTTGTAAGGGATGTCTCGAGTGAAACGCTGATTTGTCAACGAAAATGTTAAAAACACTTGGGTTGTTCCATATTTTCGCTTCTTGGGCCATCTTGGGGGTCATCCGAGATCGCTCCGAAGAGATGTCTTACAAGAGCTGTGTCGGCATCCCATTTGTTCGAGGATGTCTCGGGCGAAACGCCCATGTTCGAGGATCCGTAAATTAGGCGAGCGACTGCATGTTCTCCATGTGTGGAGGATGTCTCGAGCGAAACGCCCATGTTTAACTAAATACGTCTTAAGATACGACCCCCAACTTCACGATGTTGTGAGGATGTCTCGAGCGAAACGCTCATGTTGGGAATCCGCCAGGTCCAGGACAATGAGGCGGCGCCGCGCGTTCCCCCCCCCAGACCCCCCCCCAGTTGATACTGCCTCTGGCCGAGAGAGGGTCCATCGCGCGACTCGTCGAGTCTTAGCGCGCTTCCCGTCATCCGCCAGGTCCAGGACCCCGAGGCGGCGCCGCGCGTTCCCCCCCCCAGACCCCTCCCCAGTTGATACTGCCTCTGGCCGAGAGAACGTTCATCGCGCGACTCTTCGAGTCTTAGCGCGCTTCCCGTCATCCTCCCCCTCCTTCGCCTTCTCATCTTCCTCCATTTCCTATTCCATATCCTCCTCCATCTCCGCCGCCTCCCCCTCCTCCTCTCCTCCTCTGCCCTCCGCCCTCCCTTTTCGACGCGGTTCCCCGACACTGATCCGTGGGAGGGCGTTGCGTCTTGGCCCTGCTCCTCCTCCTCCTCCTCCACCTCGTCCTCCTCCGCCTCCTCCTCCTCCTCTTTCTCCTCCTCCTCCTCCTCCTCCTCCTCCTCCTCCTCCTCCTCCTCCTCCTCCTACCCTTCTTCCTCCTTCTCCTTCTCCTCCTCCTCCTCCTCCTCCTCCTCCTCCTCCTCCTACCCTTCTTCCTCCTTCTCCTTCTCCTCCTCCTCCTCCTCCTCCTCCTCCTTCTCCCCGTCTTCCTCCCTATCACTCCCTCCGTCGCGGTGTTCTCCTCCCCCATCAGGCGTCTCCGCCGCGCGTCGGGGGCACAACCTCGCCGCCCCGCCCCCTTCCTTCGTCGGAACGGCGCCGCCCCGCCTCTCCTTCCTGGGAACGGCGCCGCCCGGCCGCGTCGAAGACTATGTCCCCGTCCTCCAGGCCGCGATCCACGAGGGTCCCCGCATGTCCACCGTTCGGAGGCCAGCAAGGTCCAGAACGTCTGCTTAACTAGAGTGTCGCGCCGCCGGTTCTGGCCCACCACGTCTCAGCGCGGCACGCGGACCACGCCCGGGCTCTCGAGCGTCAACGTCATGAGATGTTTTTTTCCAAGCCCTCCGCCCCGTGGGGCGGAAAGACACGCCACCACCTTGCAAGGCGTGTCGCCGCCGCGACACGCGAAGCAGAAGTTCCTGACCGTAGCACCTCTCTGGAGACCGACGACGACGACGACGACGACGACGACGACGACGACGACGACGACGACGGAGTCGTCGACGGTTGCGGCGCCAGCGAGGATGGCGCGGCGAGCGGCGAGCGGAGAGAGCCGAGCGGGCCGGGCCCCCGGCGGCCGTCAGCGTGCGGCTCCCGCAGGGGCGAGGCCGCCGACGCGGTGGAGGTCTTGCAGGCGTGCGTCGCCCCCCCCTGCTGGCGCACGCTGGCACGGTCGCTCGACGATGCAGCGCTGTCCAATGCTCGTTCCGATTCGATCCGGCTTGCCGGCGCGATGCTGAGTAGTCCTGCTTCGAAGGGGGCTAGGACGAGGATGAATCCGTGAGCGTTCGGGAAGGCTCTCGGAGCGCTCCAGAACGCTCTGATAAGGCCGCGGCGCCCGAGACACTCCTCCAGCGCCGCTGGATCTCAGAGATTCCTCATGTGTCCTCACCCGATGTTATCCTCGTCCTGGTTTCGCATTAGGTCCTGCCCCACCGTGGAGAAAGATCCCCCAGCAAGCTGCGATTATCCGAGGCCGCAGGTCACCGAAGCACCACCCGCGGTCAAGAAGCGCCAGACATCTAACGATCTGCGCCACACCGCACAGCCGCGACCGTCCAGCGGTGATAGGAAGCAGCGCCAGAGCCGTTACGACACGGATCTCAGGCATCCGCCGTCTCGAAGAAGTCGGCCAGGCCCCAGGACCGTCCCGAGAGCGATTCCGGACAAAAAGCAGGTCCCGGGGAAGCGGTCGAGAGGGTTGGCCGGTCTCGAAAACATCGAGACGCTGGATATCTCTCCTCGTCGTCGTAGCTCGCGTCGATCTCGCTGCCCTCTCCCCCCCTGCTCATCTACTCCTACGTCACTCCTCCCCCTCCCCTCCCCCCAATCGTCCTCCTCATCCGCTCTTGCCCCTCCCATCCCCCCTCCTCGTTTTCTTTCTCTACCACTTTCTCCACGAGGATGCTCTTTCTCCTCAAGGGCCCCCAATCTTGGAGAGTAGGTTCCCGGGCATGAGCCCAGCCTGAGCCTGCAGCAACAGCAACTGTCTGCAGCCGCCGTTTTCTGGATGAGCACGATGACGTTCCTCTTCCTCAGACTTGAAGTAGTGCGATTGCTTCGAGAAAATTGCCCAGGCAGGGCTCGCGTGGCATGTTGTGACGCTGCCGAGCGTCGGCAGAGCTGGCCTGTCCCATTGGCCCGTCGGATGTGCCAGGGCGACGCCAATTTGAGTGGCTGAGCGGTAAGTAGACGCAAGCACATTCAGCAGCAGGGTTCGCGACCACCTCCACTCTCCTTCTCCACCCCCATTCTTGCGCCTCTCCCCCCTCGGACCTGCCGCGTTGGAGGCAGGCGAATCCAGCTTCTCCACCCCTCGGCTCCTCCTGCCCCTCCTCGCCCCGCGCCGCTTCCCCGTCCCTCCCCCCTTCCGGCCAGACCGCGTCTGCACAGAACTCGCTTGAACAGAAGCAAGAAGCTCTCCCCCATCGGTCCTCGATCCTCCTCCGCACCTTCCCTCCCCCCTCCCTCCCCTCCCTCCCTTCCTCCCCCACTCCCTCCACAATTGGTCGATATGAATACTGCTCTCCCCATCTGCCCCGAAGATGGCCCGCCCCCTCCACGTACGGCCCTTTTGTGTTGTCCCTATCCGAACGTTCTCGATCCTTCTAAATCGTGTTCCTGCTACAGCGCGGGCCTCACACTAGGATCTCGAATATGCTCCCGTCGTTCAGAATGGCGTTCTCGCCTCAGCGCGGACCACTGTTCTGGATCCGAGTCCTCTCACATCGTGGTTACCCCCTTCTTTTCCCACACGTACTACACCTTCTCCTGGTCCTGCCGCTCCTTCCATTCCAGTTGTTGCTGATCTTGCTGTTCGCATTCGTCCTCCTCCCTCATCCTCCTCATACTTTTCCTCCTGCGAATCCTCCTCCTCCTCATCCTCCTCCGCCTCCTCCTTCTCCTCCTCCTCCTCCTCTTCCTCCTCCTCCTCCTCCTCCACCTCCTATGTACGCAGCTCCACGTATCCGATTGCGCAAAATCGATGGGATCTGTGTTGGAGTTCCAGGTCCGTTGTGAAACGCGTCCGCGGATAGAAAAAACAGTGCATGTTGAAAGGATGTGTGGGGGAGGTAGGATGTCAGATCTGACGCGAATGCACCTAGCTTGCACCATACACTCCCCTCCTCTTCCCCCTCGATCCTTCATCCTCCTCCGCCCCTCCCACCTCTGCTATTACGCAATATGAATACTATCTTCCTCCCTCGCCCGAACACATCTGTGCTGAGAGCATTAGCCTCCCCCATCCGCATATTGTGGTTCATACCTGATGTGGGCGAGCTGTTGGTTCTCAAGTGTTGGTTTCAATTCGAACGTTCTCGGTTCTTCCACAATCGTCCTCCCGCCGCAGCGTGGGCCTCCTGTTAGGATCGCGATTCTGCTCCCGTCGTTCAGAATTGTGCTCTCGCCCCAGCGCAGACCACTTTTCTGGATCGGAGCCATTCTTCATCGGTGTCGCCTTCTCCTTTCCCCTCCTCCGCCCTCCCCTGGTTATCCTGCTCCTCCCGCTCTTTCCACTCCAGTTCTTGCTGTTGATGCTGGTCAACCTTCCCCTCCATGCTGATGCTTCTCCTGTTTCTCCAACTCATCCCCCTGCTCATCCGCCACAACCTTCTCCTCCAAGCAGCTCTCCTTTTCCGATTGTGCCGCACAGCACGACGGGATCGTTTTTGGAGTCCTTGGTCCGTTGTGACATGCGTGCGCGCATCGAGACAAAATCAGCGCATTGGGCAGGTTTGATTGGATGAGAGGGATGGGTAGAACGTCAGATGTGCTGCGAAGGCACCTACAAGCCTCGTCACATATACCCAGAAGTGGACGTTGAAATCCTGGAGCACGATGCTTTCGGGCACTTGTCAGAAAGCGCGCTCTTCAATGCTGAGAGGGTGGGGTCGGCTTTTGGACAACACCGCGTCCGAGTCAACAGGAATCCGTCAGCATTGGAGCAGCGCTGACCCAACAATCACCGAATTCAGAAGTCTTCTGTTCATTGTTGCCGAGGTTTGCAGGAAAGAGCGCGCCCGCGGAACACTCTTTACTACAAGCTACCCACCCCCCTCCCTTGGAAATTGGGGGGGGGGCTTCCGAAGCTACCCCCGCTTTTGTCGGCATTATTGGGCCAGGGGGGCCCCTGCTAATGGAAGGGGGTGCCCCCCTCCTTTCCCGGAGGTGGAGGTCAGCTCGGGCTCCATTTTGAGAGGGTGGGAGAGCCCCAGAAGCGAATAGCCCCCTCCTCCCCGTTTCGCAGCTGGGATTTTCTTGCCAAGGGGGCTTCGAAGTTATTACCCCCCCTCCTCCTTCCTTGCTTCTGGAGCCGAAGGTTAGCCCGGGCTCCCCTTTTAAGGGGGGGCTTCGGAAGCTACCCCCTCTCTCCCATTTCACAATTGAGATTGTCTTGCCAACGGGGAGGGGGGTTCGAAGGGAGGAGGGGGGGTCGGGGATTGATTTTCGGCGTCCTTTTGGATTTCGGCGCTTCTCTGGTTTTCGACGCCCTTGTGGTGTTCGGCGCTCGTTGGAGTTTCGGCGCCAATCTTGGTTTTCGGCTCACGCTTGGTGTTCGGCGCGCCTTTGGTTTTCGGCACCTCTTTGGTTTTCGGTACCCTTCTGGTTTTCGGCGCTCCTTTGGTTGTTGGCGCCGCTGTGGTTCTCGGCGTTCCTTTGGTTGTCGGCGCCTATTTGGTGTTCTGCGCACCCTTTGGTTTCGGCGACATGTTGGTTTGCGGCGCCCTTTTGGTTTCTGGCGCGCCCCGTTGGTCTTCGGCGCTCTCTTGGTTTCTGGCGCCCTACAGGTGTTCGGCCCGTTTGGTCTTGGACGCCCGTTTTTGGGTGGTGCCCGTTTTGTTGTCGGTGCCCGTTTGGTTTTCGGCGCTCTTTTGTTTTTCGGCTCCCTTCTGGTGGTCGGCGCCCCGTCGGTGTTCAGTGCCCCTTTGGTTTTCGGCGCCCGCCCTGTTGGTTTTCGGCGCCCCTTTTCTGGCGTTCGGCGCTCATGCGGTTTTCGTTATGTGTTCCTTTTGGTTGTCGGTGCCCATTTGGTGTTCGGCACCCTGTTGGTTCTTGGCGCCCCTGTGGTTTGCGACGCCCCCTGTGCTCGGCGCCCCTTTAGTTGTCGGGCCTCTTTTGGTGTTGTGCGCCCCCTTGGTTTTCGGCGCCCTTTCGGTTGTCAGTTCCCTTCTGGTTTTCGGCGCCCTTGTGGTTTTCAGCGTTCGTTTATCTTTCGGCGCTCTTTTGGTTGTCGATACCGTTTAGTTGGCGGTGCGTTTTTGGTTTTCGGCGCCGTTTTGGTTTTCGGTGCCCTATTGGTTGTCGGTGCAGTTTAGGTGTTCGTTGCCTTGTTGGTGTTCGGCGCCCTCTTGGTCTTCGGCGTTTTCTTGGTATTTGGCGTTCCTTTCGTTTTCGGCGCCATGTTGAAGTTCCGCGACCACTTGGTTGTCGGCGCCGTTTTGGGGATTCGGCGCTCGTTGGTTTTCGGTGCCCTTCTGATGTTCGGTGCCGCTGTGGTTTTCGGCGCGCATTTGGTCTTCGGCGCCCCTTGGGTTTTCGGCGCCTCTTTGGTTTTCGGCGGTCTTGTGGTTTTCGGTGCCCGTTGGCTTTCGACGCGCCTTTACTTTGTTGCGCTCTTTTGGTTTTCGGGGCCTTGGTCTTCGGCGCCCTTTTGGTTGTCGGCGCTCTGTTGGTTTCCGCTTCTCCTTAGGTGTTCGGCGTTCCCTTGTTTTTCGGCGCCATTTTGGTTCTCGGCGCCCCTTCGATGTTCGGTGCCCTTTTTGGTTGTCTGCGCCCCTTCGGCTTTCGGCGCGCACTCGGTTTTCGGCGTTTGTTTGGTTTTTGGGGGCCCGTTCGGTTTGCGGTGCTCCGTTGGTTTTCGGCGCCCTTCCACTCGCGCGCGCCCCTTCCTGTAGTCAAAGGGGGGGGGGCATCCAAGCCCCCTCCCAGCCAGAAAAAGGGCGGGGGCAGGGGCCTCCGGAAGGGGGGGCCAGGAGGGGGGGTGGCAACTAAGCCCCCCTCCTTTCGGAAAGGCAGGGAGGGCGGTAGCCTGCGGAGCGCGAAAGAGCAGCCCCCGCAGGGCGGAAGAAAGGCGGGGAAGGGGGGGGGGATGGGGCTTCTGGCAGGGGGTGCCCGAAGGGGGGAGGGAGAGCT